TACAGTTTCTTTATTTTAATTATTTATGTGACATACTATTATACTTTATATTATTGACATTTTATATATTTTAATATTATAATAAATCTTAGTGATGATTATGCAATATATCTCAGATGTAATATACGAGATAAATCTCAGAAAATTGTTATTACAAGTATGATGACAAAACAAGATAAATATTCACTATTGTAATTCTTTATATATTGTTTACTGTCATTACAGTCATTAGATTTTAACTTTTATTTTTTTGTTTGCAAAGTTTTACCAAATATAAATACAACAAATTTTAATCATTTAAAGGGTAAACCATTTTTGACTTCTTTAGTTTTGAAAAATTTTGAAATGAATTCTAAATCAAGAGACAATTCACCCGTTTCTTCTGCTACTCCTACATTTTTAGCTAATATCACTTCTTCCCATCATCAACCATCTCCAACTAATATTGATTCTTCCTATAAACAACCATTTCTAACTTATAACGCTTCTTTCTATCAACAACTGTCTCCAACTTATAATGCTTCTTCCTATCAACAACCGTCTCCAACTTATAACGCTTTTCCTCATCAACCTTCTAATCCAACTAATATCACTTCTCCTTATCAACCTCCCAATCCAATTTTCCATACTGATTACAATTCATCTGACTAAGCTACCTCAAGTATTAGAAGTATTCAACGAGCCTTTTCAACTATAAGTAGTATATCCAATTAACACAATCTCGGCATCAATCTCACCATCAATCTTGCCATCAATCTCGCTAATGATCAAGCCAACTATCTAATTCTCAACAATCATCTTACCCTACCTATGACTCACATTCACCTCTATATAACAATAGAGATTGTTCAGTATCTCAACAGCACTCACATCCACCATCACGACAATCACAACATAATGATAGAGATCGCTCAAGATCTCCACAATGTTCTAGTTCAGAAACATGAGAAAGATCACGTGAATGATGATCATTTAATAATCAAAGTATATAATTAGTGATCAAATGATATATAAGTCTTTTTTCATGTAACTAAAAATTGAAATTTTTCCCTTTTACTTTTTTTTTTTTTTTTTTTTTTTGTATGTCTTGTCCTTAAAGATCATGCCCGCACCCACTGCCGGAAAGTAGATGAGCGACTTTTCGCTCAAAACCAGCAGCTCTATATTATGTTGAAGAGGCTGAGTGAAGATGTAAAGGAAATTAGAACTGAACTAAAACACCAACATAGTGATGTGGAGAATGACCTTTCCCTGAAGGTTTTAGATTAGTATTTACAATTAAAAAACTTTTTAAGATGTATTTCTTGTATTTTATCATAAAATATATATTAAAGTTTTTTTTGTAGGAAATTTTTATATGCATTGCTAAACGTCTCTTTCTGTACCATGTGTACCCACCCAAGCTGTAATTAAGGAAACATTTAAAGGTTATCTTGAAGAAAAGTTCTCAGACTTTATGAGTAATTTAAGCGCCAACAAGTTTGCTAACCGTTTTCACAATCAATGGTTGAGTCTGGTAATATATATATATATATATATATTTATATCTATCACCTATAATTGTTAATAATCATTTTCTAACTTTCTTAATTTATTACAACTTATATTATTTTGTTAGGTAATATCTTTTTTTTTATTGTATCTATATATTGCTTATGATTTGTTTTAGTTTTAATTTTCCAAATATTTGCAATTTACTATTATGTAGCTTCTGAAAAAAATCAAAAATAATTATAGCGCTGCTCTTCAAAATGTTAAAGCTGCAATTTGGAGTGTGTTTGGGGATGAGAGGTTGCCCAGTTATGAAGCAACGTGGCTGCGGCCAACATCGTTAAATAGAAAGAAAGCTGGGAAGTAAACGCTTGTTACTATGCTCTTTCTGAGCAAAATGAAGATGGTGTTTTTTGGGTTTCTGTTATAGCAAGAACAGTATTTAGTATGACGGCTGTCTCCACTATGACGAGTGAGCACTGTGCATTTACCCTTGCAGTTTGCGACATTCTGCTTAATCCTTGCTCATGAAACATATTGTACAAGGAATCATGTATGAGACGTAGGATTGACCAATATTTAGTAAGTAATTGTATATTTTGTTTTTATAGGTAACAATATTAACGTTTAATATATTTAATTAGAGCGATTTTGAAAGTGGTGGTGGTCCCTCCCATGAATCGGCCAATAACATATTAAATGATGAAAATAGGTGTAACAAACTATCAAGAGAAGCCTCGCCTCAGCATACTGAAGCTGAAAGCGAATCTCCTGCCCCAAGAAGCCCATTTATGTCTCAAGAAGAGATGGATGAATTGTTTGGACTCGATCTATAGCATTATTTTCACATAATGTATATTTTTCATGTATTGTTTTTTTTTTCTTTTTTATTGTTTTTTT